CTGTGTTTATGGTACCTTACGTTAATACAAGTAGTACATCTAAAAGATACAGAAGATGGGGTGTTTCGCACAAACACAGCCAAATCAAACAGTGCAGTCTCAAACCCCTGTCAACACCCAAGGCAGTAAGGGTGAGAATCACAGAGTTAAAATACCACAAGCTTTGAAATAGAGGAGGAAGAAAGGATGTTGACTGGACTGGTTCTCCAGTGACTACTTCTGCTTTCCTTTAATTCCACGTTTTATTTCAGGTCTCCTTAAATGAGGCCCATCAAAATACCTATTGTATTTATAAACCCTATACAGAATTAAAAGGCTGTCATTATAAACCATGATTTGGATAGTTCAGCCTCAACTGTCGAAAATAATCTGTGGAGTTTGCTGCTGCTGCTGTTCCTGAAGAAAAACATGCAAAATTACGTCAAATATGAAAACCAAACATCCCCAAATCTCATAATATTTTCCCCAAATAGTATGTACATCAAATCACTCTGAGCTACAAGGTGTCTAGTAAACTAGAGCTGGCGAAGACTTTTCTGGCTTTTGTTTGTTCTTGTTAGTATGCTTTTGTTTTTTTAAAAAAGGTCCATGGTTAAAAGCAAACACAACCCTGCGTCCACCTCCCTTACTACTCCCATGGCCAGTGAGCGGGATTTGACACGTGGCTCCCAGGCAGGCTGGTGGGTGACGGACCGAGCGGGCAGGGAGCCGAGCTCTCCTCACAGCCAGCTTGACAGGTCCCTGTCAATTCTCATTTCTGGTTTACTGGCTTCCTGTGAGCAAACTGTGTAAATTCTGAAAACTATTTCGGGTGACACACTTCCAAAAAAATTTAAGTTGTTCTTTTGTCTCACGTTTCCTCCCTAGACCTCCAGGTTTTCTCCCAGAATGGTTTTTATCCAGCTCTGAGCTCAATCCTAGCAAACCTCCACTTCTCCTGACACCAAGGGCCCTAATCCAAACACAAACAGCAGTAACTATTCCAATAGAAAGATTTAGGAAATCCATAGCAATATTAAGTCATGACTTAATCCAGAGCAATATTAAGTTACGACTATGAAGTCATGAGGCAGTGAAATCCTGGGAACGCAACATAGATTATTCTGGAATCTCTTCTGAGGCCTGGCCTCGGTACTGTAGGCTAACAGACTCCAGGTAGCGATACATGTGCGAGCGGCCCACCCTGACGGCGGTGCCTCCAACAAGATAACAACGCAAGCAAGGACGGCATGCTACAGATAAGGGAAGGGGGACACACAGATGGGCCACCCTGCCTTGGGGCACCACTAACAAGAGAACAGCGCCAGAACGGGGTGGGAAGGAGCTTTTCCTATGTTTACAGCCCATTTACTGAGCATTTGGCTAATAATAATGCACTTTAAGATTGTTAGGAATGGTACCCATGCCATTCTGAAATAATTTCAGCATCTATCTTTAGGGTCTTTGTTGCTGTTGCCGTTCATTTCTCAAAAATAGATTTCTCTGAGCACAGGCCAGGCAACAATTATTCCAGTTCTCGGAATATCCCTTCCACAAGAATGAGCTAAATGAGCACAGGAGGCTCATCTGCTCCCCTGCCTCATCCCTAACAAAGTTTAAGGACAGGACAAGCAAGCAGAAATATTTCCTGTGAATATACCAGCTCTTCAGAGCTAGAAAGTCGGGGATCTTCCTGAGCCAGATGCAGCATCTGTGCAATTAAAAGCCCCAGCAGTGCTTTCCTCCACTGTTTCTTACCCCACTGTTTCCTGAACTCATGCAAATGGTTAGCATTCACCACATCCTGCAGCAAAGGCTTCACAGCTCAACAACATATTGCATAAAGAACAGTTTGTTTTGATTTTGTCACCTAGTGGTTTTACTTGACATGCCCTGTAGTGGGCAAAGAAAAACATCTCTCAGCTTACGCTTAAGCACTTCTGAATCAACCACAAAAATTGATTTCTGATTGATTACTTATTTGGGAGATGCTGAATTCTACTTATTTTGAGAACTCTGAAACAAAGTGTGCTTTTATTGTGTCTCTGGCTGTCATATTTGTACTGAAGAGCAGATTGACTTTCAGAGATGTTCAAGTTAGATTCTTCCTAATCATCTATTATTTGTGCCTTATAAGCAGCTCAAGTGCTTTAAATCTGCCTTAGTTCTTGTAGACTAAAACAGGGAAATGGTTCTGACCTTTTCTGTAATGCTTCATCTATTGATAAAAGCCAATTGCATCATATAGCAAATTACATCAAATAACTACATGCTCTTATAGCTTCTGTTTTTTACACATTGTTCATGACTAGCACCCTTTCTGTTACACTAACACACTGACTACCCATCTGTGATCTATCTGTTGCCGTAATATTCATATTCACATATTCATCTTGGAGAATGAAACTACCTAAGTCTAGAGCTTCTAGCTTTCAGGGATTCACATATATCACGTTTAGCACACTAAAGTAACACACCCCAGGGAGGACAGTTTAGGACAGCAGAGGCTTTATCCCTTCTAAGATAAGGTTTCCCCAGAGCTTCCTTGCTGAGCACACAGAGAAGCAGCCTGAACACACAAGCTATTTAGAGACTTCAGAGTTTTCAGAAAACTGTAATGTTTAATTCCTATATTTTTTGATAACTTCTTGTATTAAAAAACAAAACAAAACAAAAAAAAACAGGAAGAAGTAGTTATTATTAGACTATTTACTATGTTTTCATAGTGGAAATGTGATGTATTTCAATCTTCTCTCTCGAATTTATTGATTTGAATCAGACATTGCTTCCAAATACTTCCCCACTGCTATGTGTAGGACTCCTTCCAGGGCAAAGCTACTTTGTTTTCTAATTCCAAAACTATCTGGGCCTTCTGACTTGTAATGGACCCTTGAAAATAACAAATTTCTGACACATTCATAAAAACATCGCCACTATCTGCTTTCTTAAATGCTGAAATTATATTATATCTTCCCCATGCACAGATGATGACTGGCCACATATGCAGAGTTCATCTGCGCATCATGACCTGAGTCTATGATGACAGCACTGGCATTTTCCCCCCAGGACATGTTAGGAATGTCTTGGGCATTACTTCTTTGAGCAGAACATAATATATCCTAATTGTCTTCTGCTACAGCAAAACATAACTCCGTAAGTATATGGCAACTTATTAGGACTACCAGCATCTAACTTTGCATGTAGAGGCACACTCAGGCAAACTGAGTTTCTATGTTCTAGCAGATTTAACTTTACTATTTAAATACTTAATTGCTCTTAATTTTAAGCAATGTACCATTTCATGGATATACCTACAGATATACCAGATACACCAGAAGTAAAATAAAGCACCTTTCTTAAAAATGAAGCAACATCTAAAAGTACTATGGACAAACAGAATTGGAGACTTAAACTGTCTACTGACTTCTGCTTTTACCTTTTCCATATACTTATCTGATAAAACTGTTGCATGAAGCAGTAAGCGTGTGTGTAGTCCTCAATCCACAGTTCAAGAAAATACATGTCACAATCAAAGTGTATCTATCATCTCATATGTTTATAATCAGGGTGCTAAACCTAAGAGGGAAGTGGTTGCTCTGACAAACCACTTCTAAAACAGTAGTCAACAGTAGTCAAAACACAGTGTGCTGTGTGGACAAGAGAAATAGATTTGATAAAATTAATTGGCCCTTAAAAAAAAAAAAAATTGTCTGAAGTGGCACTTAAAAATTAGCACCTCCTTTGCTAAATAAATCTAGGGCTATCTCCAAAGGTAGAAATTCTTATTCCAGGTGACTGAATATGCAGTGTAACACAAGACAGGAAGATGCGTTTTGTTAAACAACTCTCTGCTCTACAACTCCATGACGTGGGTTTCAAAACCATGCCCAACACTAGTGTACTACCTTTGACTTTGCTGCCATGGATATAGTTCTTAGCATTAATGAATAGTCCCCAAAAAAGATTTACCTGCAGTTACAAGCTGGCCAGGTTAAGCCTCTTTACAAACTTTTATCTAACATAGTTAACTGAGAGTCTGCATTCATGTGCCCTAGATAAGATATCCTCTTAAATAGCCAACTCAGCAGGTCACTTTCTTCATTCGTGTCCCATCTAGGAGTCAGGAAACAAACCAACCAACCTCCACGACTGCCTTACTCCACAGGCCAAGAGTGACTCACCTCTTTGTATTCTATTTGCAACCATTAGTAGTCTATATTTTTTCTTTGCCATTTCTGGGGGGAGAAATCCTTTCAAATCTTGTCCTTTTACAGAAACTAGCACAGAAGGTTTGATCAGAGCTCCTAGGCACCAGGCTCATCTACTACTTGCTTTGAAATAGATAACTAACAACTCTGCAGCTAACGACTGAAAGCCAGCTAACAGGTCTGCTTGCTGGTCCCATAAATAGATCAGTGCAATGAAAATGTGCACTAGCTTAAGCCTTCAATTTGTCTAGCTGATTCCAAGCCTACCCTGCACATGATGACACTGCTACCTTCTAACAGAATATAACCTGAATCCACAGCAAGAAACTGAGAAAGTATTATGTATATATATTTTTGAGCAAGTTTCAAAGCCAACATCAAATGTACATGCTTACTTCTAAAAGTCAATAATCCCTGCTGGTACAAACTAGTGCTGTTATCAGTCTGCAAGGTAAAGTCAAGGGGCTGTCAAGCAGAATGAAGAAAGAATGGTTTGCAAGGGAGACAATACATCAGACATACATCTGAATTTGAAGTTTCCCGATAGCATTAAATAAACTCAAGGTCAAAAAATAGCTATCCAAAAAATATACACTGAAAAAACAGTTTAATATCTGCAGTTCAGTGTGTTTTTTTTTCCCACTGACTTAAACAGAAATCGTTTACTACTTTCTTTTTCTGAAAGAAAATAGCAGTCCCTGAAGAGAATTATTTAGTTTATTTGAAACTGTCAGATATGACTGTTAAGAAGAAGAATTAAAAAAAAAGGTGGGGGGCAGAATTAAAAAAAAAAAAAGCACCAATTCATTTAACCTCTCTGATTTTTTTTCACTGTTTCTTAATATTGAAGTACTGAAGAAAGGATACTGGAATGCTTCAAGAAACTACGCAAGCCTATTTCATGAACCATCAGTCATGTTTCTCCTCTAAAGGAAGACAGTCAGAGAGCTTAATCCCTTGCCCCAGCTGGGGATGTCTGCTGGTTATCCAGTACATGCACACTAGTATCTTCTTGAAAGCAAAGTACTTTCATCACCTTGTTCATATAGGGTACATTTTTACAGATCGCTTGAAGTGCACTATAATTTCAGTTAGCTTGGCTTTTCCCCAACTTATAAAGCAAACAGAAGACTGTGTGTTAATCAAATGGCAAAAGGTTCAAGAAAAAAGTGCAAGTATTCCATAGTCTGCATTTATTTCAAGTTGGTTTTGGCCCATGCAGTCCAAAAGGCTTGGCACCCAAGTGCTCTTCCTTCCCTATGATCAACATGATGTAGCTGAGTTTCAGGGAAAGGGAATTTATAGAGGCATCTGCCAGAATTTGCCTCCAGCCTGGATCTGGCAAAGCCATGATTAGTTAGATTTTCAAGCGCACTGCCAAAGTCTAGGACAGCAAAAAGGAATGTGGACTTATACTGATTTGGGGAAAGTGGTTGAGTGAGTAATCTTAAAAGTCTAGGAAAATGATTTCTCCCTGATGATGCATATTTTCTGTCAGGGAAAGCAAGTATTATTTCAACTCACCCAGAAGTAGTTGCTGAGATCACAGCTTCTCAACACTAACCAAAGCACAAAAGTTGGGGGGCATGAATGAAACTCAGCGATGTCCCAAAGGGAAAAGGATTAACTATACAGATTAACTGTTATCAAACTCCTTATGTAGGGAGCCCATGGAGAGCTGCTGACTAGGATTTTCAGAAAGCTAAAAAATATAAAATAAAATATGTATTTCAAACATAACACAGCTTGCAACCAAGTATTCTTCTTGTTCAAAGAGGACTATATTTAATTAGCAAAACCATTTCTAAAGATCAGAAATGTTACTTCTCCCCAGTGGTCCAAAAGGTAAACAGTAAGAAGTGGGAATAAAATATTAAGTGAGTCTTTACACCATGAAGACATTAGTCCACACCCGCCCTCACACAGTAAGTTTCTAGAACTGCCACTTTTCATTTCAGCTGCCAAACACTTCCTCAACTCACCACCTAAAACAAGGGCTCTTCTCAGGTTTCAGCTGCATGTACGAGCCATAACAGCTATGAAATGTTCATGATGACTACAGTAAGAGTGAACACTGGTAGAAAGTTGCTACAATGCCAGCAGGATGATCTTCATCGTGTTTAAAAGCATGTTAGAGATTACAGACTGGTAATATTGCTTGCACAGTAATTCTACCTCTTCAGGTACCAGCTTTTTCTTTGGCCAATCTGATCAACATGAATCTAAATGCATGTGTGTGTGTGCACATGGGTGCACACAGGTGTGTATAAGAACATATGTAATTTTTGTGGTATAGTATAACTAACATTTCTTTTAAAATTCTGAGAATAAATTATTCTCAGGTTCCTTCACTTTTCTCCAATAGTCCCCTACACATTTATTTCTTGGGCAAAACATGGTGCATCTGCCACTACCACTAATAACTACTTAATAGTTTTCAGATGAAAGACTAGTATTTCTTAAACTACTTCTCTTACTCCTTAATGCATCAGAAAACACACAGAGCTCTTCTCTTTCTCCTCCTATACAACATCTTGGGGGACCTTAGATAAGTTCTTAATTATTTGCTTTTAAGGAAAAGATAGAAGCTAAAATTTGTGAGGGGGATTTGTTTCTGTAGAAAAATAACATATAACAAATTATGAGTTGTTTTGATTTGGCACTTAAAATGCCACCCAGGATGCTTCCTATAAGCAGCATATTTGAAACTGAATATTAAAGTAGAGCAGAAATACCCAAGAGAAATTACGAATAAATTATTTTCTTCCTGATTACAGCACACTCTCTGTTCTCATTTTACAGTCTGCAGAAGTTCTCTGCACAACAGGATTAATAGCAACAGAAAGTTATTCAGTACAAAAACCATTGTTGAAAAAGATGCAGCAGTACCAGCAACAAAGGGAAACACTTCTGGTTTTGCAGGGGTGAAGTGTGGTTTGCAAAACAGACTCTAGATGTGTTTGACATTAAGAGAGAGGATGACAGCCCCATTTGTTTGCACTGCATTTGTCACATAGACCCACAGGGTTGTCCTGGCATCAGCAGCTGGTCTTCTTCCTTCCCCAGAAAAGAAAATATGCCTTTCCCAGAGGCAATTCAGTGGAATATGAAGTGGAAAAGGCTCCTCAGAGCAAGTTACAAGTAAAATGGGTACCACAAAAACAGTGTGTAAGACCCACCCTTACACATACACACACACAAAACACAGCCCTGCCCCAAGCACCATTACAGAACAAGGCAATAGGCAATTAGCCCTTCAGCAGACTATTACATCACTCTAAAACAAACATATTAAACACCTTAGTGTACTATTATGTGTCCAAGACAACTTACTAGTAGTTGGGTCTTTCTAGGCTCTCATGAGAAAGATTTTAGCAAAACAAACAAACAAACAAACAAAAACACAAGAAAGCCCATAGCAATAAAAAGTTTTTCTTTCAATGCCCAGCAGACCCAGACCAGAACGTTCTCCTAAAGTTGCTCTGGGAGAACAAAAGAGAACCAGAGTCTCCAGTAGGTTTTAAGCTACAGGACCTGCCTTGCATAGGAAAGCAGAATGATGGATTCAAAGTCACAGATCAAGAATGCAATAGTGTGGGCAGAGCCACTGGTCAAGCTTTCAAATGCTAAACAAACCTAGAATAACTTGTTTGCTGGATGAAAGGAAACCTCCACACAGTCCATCCTAGACAGTCTTGGAAAATATTTCTACCCAAAAGTAAAAGCAAGCCTGACTTCTTTCTAAAACTCAGGGGCCCTTTCCTCAAACTTACTTGGTTTCTACAGGTAGTAACTCACACAGGCTTTGTGGCTACTTCGTCATGGTTTTGCTTTTAAATGTCAAACAAAAATTATGGATGACCTCTGTTTCCATAACAGAGGATCAGAAACTGGTACAAAAGGAAGATTATATAGTTACTGCCACAGCAGGAAAGAACTTTGTTTCACTCATCACAAAATCAAAATACTTATGCCAAATTGAAGAGTTGCTCATATATTACTATAATGCTGAAAGCCTATATTTTTGGAAGTGAGCAGTGTTTTTGGACAGTGAACACAAGACACTATAAAGAAAGATTTCATTTTCAAAACGAAGCTTCTAGAAAAGCCAATCTCCACTATGCCATGCGATGTTAAAAGTGACAGAAAATCTAATCTTGAGTAGCTGGACTACAAGACTTAATAGTGTAGTGCAACAGTACAATCTCACTGCAAAAATAATTACAGTAAGTCATAAATAAACCAGACAATAAGTTTCATGGCAGGTATTCATTTATGAAAATTCTTTCATAGCTTGTAAGCTAATCATAATTATTTGCTAATTTTAAATGCTCACAGATAAAGTAAGCAGTCTCTCTCTATATATTAACTATACCTGTTTGTCCAATAAACTTTATTTTACTTTTAAAAGAAATTCCAAATATCAAAGCTAACATCTAACTACCTATCATGCTCGCCGCTGAAACTGAGAAATGGAGCACAGATATAAAGGAGAAAAAAAAAGCCACAAGCCACTTTTCCTCCCCTGCCCCAATTCCCATAATAAAAGTTTACTTTGGAACAGTTAGTTTATGAATGAGCATTGTCTAAACCACAAGCCATAGTAAATCTGCCCATTTAAATGCTAGACAGGAGCATTTAGGATCCTGGAGGAAGTGAGAAAGGCAGGCAACAGACCCTTCACTTCAGCGAGCAGTCCCAGCTGGTCCTGGGACATGCGCATGGGACCCTATGGGAGACGGCCTTGTAGTGCAAAGGTGTTCAGAAGAGCTGGTCGGCCTCCAGGGACAAGCAGGGTCCATTCCAACACATGGTAAAGAAGCAGGTCCGTGGCAAGAGGGCAGCTTGGCTGGACGGGGAGCACCTTCCTGGGCCCAAACCACCATGGGAAGGGTGCAGTGGAGGGGGCAGGGGCAGAAGCACTGCCCAGGCAAAGAGATGCTCAGCTAGAAACCACTGTAGGAGAGGAAGGGCCTCTACACGTACCTTAGCAGCAGAAGGAAGACCTAAGGAATCAGGGACCTGCTACTGAACAAGCTGGGCCAGCTCACTAGTGACAAAATACATGGAAAGGGTCAAGAGCTCAATCTCTTTTTTTTTGGCCTACCAACAAGGCATGCTCTTGAGGCGAGCAGCAGAGCTTGCTGAGAGAGGTGCTAGCCTCCTAGAACAAGAAGGAACTAGAGGCTGGTCAGCCTTATCCATCCCCTGGAAAGAATATGGAGCAAATCCTCCTTGAAGCTCTTTCCAGACACGTGAAGGACAAAAACATCTCTGCAAACAGCAAGCATGATTCCCAAAGGCAAATTGTGCTCAGCCAACCCAGTTACTTTTTATGATGAAGCAACTGTCTCTATGGATGAGGAAAGAGCAGCAGACACTGTTTACCTTGACCGTGGCACATTCTTTGACATAGCCCCCTTAGCACTACTGCAGCCAAACCAGAGAGGCATGGACTAGATGGGTGAGCAGAGGGGTCAGTGAAAAACTAGCTGAACTGCCAAGCTCAAAAAGCAGCGGTAAATTTGCCACGGTGAACTAGCAGCCAGTACGAGTGACATTCCTCTCAGGCCGATCTGGACAAGAGAAGACAACACATCTAGTTTACAGCTAATGCCAAACCAGGACAGCAGTTGAGAAGCTGGGGAGCAGAGCTCATACTAGTAGGGCCTCAAGAAGCTCAAGGAGCAGGCTGACGAGCCTCATGAAGCTCAGCAAATGCAAAATCTTATACCTGGCATGAAATTACCCATTGCAACAAATCACACTGGGAACTGACTGGCCAGAAAGTAACTTTGCAGCTAGGGTCCTGTTGCACAA